GTTTTGAGAAATCGCGACCCTCATCATGACTGAATCTGGCCTGCAAGAACCCTACCATACAGACTGCAATACCCTACCACACACACAGAGTGTTACCCGAACTACAGGTTACTAAAAACTTTCAGGCCAATGCGCGGCCTCCAAAAAAAATTTGGCTGCCCGTTTCTTATTTTACGCGAGCAGGGGGCCGGGTGTACTACCGCCCCTCACAACTTTTTTTTTCTTTTTTGACCCCCATTTTTTTAGGTGCGCCGCATGCAGTGCGCACGCGTCGTGCGGGATGCGCGGTGCGGCGCACGTGCGCAGTGCAGCGCATCACGATGCGCCGCATGTATGGTACAAATGCAATGCTGTGTAATTCAATCGGTTGGCGGATACTACCTTCGGGTTACATCTCACTTGTGCTTTTGATCTGCTTGTGTCATCTTGTATGAGGATGGTGTGAAAGTGTCAAGCATGGTCGGTCTCAAAGCAACAGCCTTGCTTTGAAAAATCATAAATAAGAAAGATCAGACATACGATAATGGTAATCTGACATGTTACTTCTCACAGTTCTAATCACGAATACAGGTGAATATGTTGTAATTCTTAAACACCAATCCTTTTGTACATCTACTTAAGAGCAAAGCCAAAAAACACTGACTGAATGCAAACCTCTTGCCTTCTCTCCCAATCCAAATTCTGTGTGAAGAGCAGACATAGGATAGTGGTACGCTGACTGTTAACTTTGAAAAGAAAGGAAAAGAAAAGTGTTTGCCTTGTGTCTAACGGCTTCACTGCCATGGCTTCACTCAGAAATTTCTGAGACTGAGATTGCCTGAAGCCCATTTGAGCCAGTCTGTCTCCATCAGATCCACATTGGAGGACTCAGATATCCAGATGGTTGCAGAGATTGTGCAAGAATTTCTTCATAATTTTGTCATTTTCAACATGTTTTGTAATTTTGTTAGCTGGATGCTGTTTCCCACAGTTTCATTTCCTTTGCGCCTTGAGCATTTAGCTCCGCACTGTGGAAATTTCCAGTGGCATTTTCTCCTTTGCATTTCGCGTGGAGATCAAGGCGCTATTATAAAATCAAAGAGCAACAATTTGTCGCTCTAGAGATTTATATCTGCATTACGCAGGCCAGTTCCAGCCAACCAGCATCCCTGGAGCCACAGTCTATCAGCAGTGCATTCTGGCCTGGAGATCAAGGCGCTATTATAAAATTTAAAGAGTCACCTTTCGTCGCACTTTCCTTCTGGAACGAAGGCCCCCTAACCGGAAAACAAGTTGCATTGAGGCCCAACTAAGCTGTGCCTCAAATGTATCTGCCGGGCATATCAAACTTCAATGCACACATGGGTAACACCAGGCTGCTTCAAGCCACTCACACAGACCCAAGGCAGGCCTAGCTGCTCTTGAGTAGTGCCCTGCTGCTATGCTAGGGCAAGTTGACCTTGTCTTCAAGCTCGCTATGATGGAACGTACATCAGAGCCTTGACAGCTGCTGAGCGACCATGGGGGCAAATAGCGGTGGTGCTAAGCATACCGGACATGAGAAAATGACTGACTTTTGGAGTTCTGAAGCAAAAGAAGTAGGCATAAGTGCTTACACAGGGTCATGGAGGTCACCAGATGCCTACCAGATTCGGCCTATGGTCCTTGGAGACGATACAATTTGTGCTACCCAGATCCGCAGTGCAAGGTAAGGACATCGGAGAAGGTTATGAAAGGGTGCATTCATCTGTTGTTGATCTAATCGGGCAGTTCCATGGACTTGTCTCTTTGTGAGACCTCATCCTCTTATACCTGGGCCTGCTCGGAGCTCTGCGAACGGGAATAGGGGTAAGGTCAAGACCGAAGACAAGATGAGCTCATTTTCGCAATAGGTGCCATGTTTAAGTGCAGTAATGCATATTGTCGAGGTATCGTAGCAGACCGAGAGATTCGGACCATTTCCTACCTACTCAAATCAAATGAAAATGAGGTCCCATGCTGATGTTCATACTCTTACCTGGTTTCATTATCCTTTTCAGAAGAATGAAAAAAAAAGGAAAAAACTTCAAAAAAGAATAAAAAATTAAAAAAAATCTCAATACCCTGGTATTTTTTAAGTGTAGTGAAAACACAACATCCATCTTGAACTTGGAGGTCAAACTCTCTCCTAGGCGACGATACTGTACAGCAAGCTCTATGGGGAGGTAACTTGATGCTAGGATCACTTCCTTCTAGTCACCTCCTTCTAGTTCTTTGTTTTTCATTATAAGAAAGACAAATTATCACTGCTATATCTTTCGACTCCCTGGAATGTCAAGGGGTCTGTAGCTCAGTATACTTGAGCATGGTGTCAAGGGTTCAAATCACTTGTCACCCTGCCACAATGAATTTAAATAAATTTACGGTACTGTATTGTGAAGATACCTTAGCCAAGTACTATAAGTCAGTTCTCTTTGCTTGGAGTTGTTTTTCAAGAGATTGATTGTTTGTCGACTGACATATCTTGTTAATGAAAAAGAAGTTTCACCTGCAAATGAATTATGTTCCAACTTCGTACAGAAACCAAATTGTACTTTGCAAAAGGATCGTGGAGTTAAAGTGTTAGAGAAGGACACTGGAATAAGGTGGTGAGAAGGGGCATTTATCTGCAGTCAAAGCCTTGGGTGGATGGATACTTTCCTATTCAGGCCCTTTTCATATGCTCTTGAATTTGAGTAGGACTTTGGTGCTGGCTCTTCATGCATGAGCATGGATGGATGAAACTGGTTTTTCTTTTTTTTCACACTCTCCCGCAAAAGCATGAAAAAGGTAGCAATCTGGAGGGCTAAGCAACAGTGCCAATGAGCTCCTAAGCCCTCAGAGTTAACTAGAACAAAACTGCAACCCCAGAGTTGGAACTGCTGCTTCTTGAGGCAAGACGAAAGAGCAATGTCCATCTATCCATTCACCCATCCATAACCAACCCATACACACCCATCCTCGAACAACCCAGCTCTTCTCTCTCTCTCTCTCTCTCTCTCTCTCTCTCTCTCTCTCTCTCTCTCTCTCTCTCTCTCTCTCTCTCTCTTGCACGCGAGCCCACGTGCACATTCACACAGAGGCACACACACCCACAAACAGGATTGACATCAGATTGTAAAACATTCCCTGACAAGGCCCAAGGATTGGAAGAAAACAGGTGGAACAGTTGGAGTATATATGAAACTTTGGGCTGCTTATTCACACCTACTGATCTCCCTCCTTACCTCCTGGTAGCTAGATTCTGAGTCAACGACCATCCTCTCCACCTGAATAACATTCCATGAAATAAGATCAAATTACTGAAATGGTAAGAGAAAAGCAGGAATTGCGGATGGGACAACCACTATGTACTGCCCAACCTTTCTGACACTTACAAGAAACTTGACATCATGAAAAAGCACAAGGGACTTCCCATGTCACCACCATAAATGTCTCTCCTACTGCAATGACCTACAGACCTCAGATTGTGGAGCCTAAGTGTTTGCAGCAATTCATTGAGAACACCTGAGATATGTATATAATGAACCCAACTCCGGTAACTCACATCAACATCATGATGCAAAATTCCTGCATAGCTAAATAAATGACAACCAGCGAAGAAACAGTGATGTAGTCAATCAACCAAACAGAAGAAGGAGAGTAGGAGGAGAGTAGGAGAAGAAGATCTGCACAAAGTTCTGTCCCTCTTCGTCCTCGTCAACCTCCAGTTTCCTTTCTTTCCAGTAGCCGCCTCAGTCAGTCATCATCCTCTCAACTACTACGGGTGAAACCGCTCTTTTCACTCTCAACACCTCGCCAAGGTGCAGTCTCTCTTCCCAATATCTGAGTGCCGCCGGCTTAACGAAACCAGCACTAAGAAGAAGAACACTGGATATGGCAATACCGGCCCTCAGTAGCAAGTGCTGCCTCCTTCCTCGTGGGCATCATCAGCAGGTAAGCCCAGATAACCTTCTTTCCCTCCCAACTGTCTCTCCACACAGATAACCTTATCTCCCTCTCCGCTCTCTCTCCACAGGCTACGTAGTAGAGTTGCAAGTTCATGAAATCGGAACTCATGTTTTAAATAATATTAGAGCACAAGATCAAGAGTCCAACAAACTGAGATGCAAGTTCATGCAACCTTCAGAACTTTTCACAGTGCTTCCTACTGCAACAACAAACAGTGGATAGTTTCTTCTTCAATACCCTTTTCTGATATCTAGCATCAAAAAGATGATGTGCCACACTCAAAAACCAAAGTTTCAATACAAACATAACAGCGTCAAGGAAAAACAGGGGAGAGGGGAGAGGACGGAAGAGAGGAGAGGCGGGGAGGGGAGGGGGAGGACGAGAAAAGTGCAAGGAATATGAGTGTGAACGATATACAGATAACAAATGTTGCGAAATCACACAGATGTCAAGGTAGTCGTATCCAAGCAGAGAGTTGTTATGATCCTGGCCGATTTCGAGATATACATCCATCAGATAGTACAATGCCGCCCAATTGCAGAAAGAAATGAATGAACTTGAGAGGAGAGAGAGGATTAGAAGAAGAAGAAGAAGTAAGAAAGAAGAAGAAGACGATGTACACCAGCATCGACAACTGACAAGGCTCCTCTTCTTCGCCCAACAATCTCCTCCTCCTTATCTCCCCCTTCTCTTATTCATACAAGAAATAATAATACAATGTTGAATGGCTGATCCAGAATCAATGTCCGAGTTCCTCTTCTACTGCAGGTATCACTTGTGGTCCACCATAGCCATGGCCGCCTCTCCCACTCTTCACTCTCAGAGGCCGGGGCTATGGCGGACTACTAGGCCTTGCCCAGATGCCCAAAGGACAACCCAAAGCAGTTATGGCTCCTCAGTTGGGGACTCCCTGCTGCAGCGCCCACCAAGGTGATGAAGATGGCTGCCACCATAGCCAGGTAAGTATTCCTGGCGCCCCTCGCCCTTCCTGTCCTTCTTCCTCCTCCGTGTCCTTCTCCTTCCCCCAGCAGCGCTGCTCTTGGATAGCGCTGCTCCAACCGGTGCTCCAACCAGTGTGTCCCCAAACTTGCACACCGAGAAAGAGGCCGGGCTCTTCGGGCGGTGACTTTCAGGCCGCTCGGCCTTCCAAGCAACGGGTACCTCCTCCCTTTCGGAGGGAAACATATTGCAGACTCTGATATTGACCGTACAGGCCCTAGACACCAGACTGGTTGGTCTCGTATCCGCCTAGACCTAACCTACAACTACTGGGCCTCTAAAAATGCCACTTTTGTCTTCTTCTGCTCGGCCTCCAGTACCCGCACATCTACCTCTTTGGGTTGCGGTACCGGCCTACCCGCTACTTGCGTGTTTTTCCTGTTGCAGTCCCTCAATGTCACAGCCACAGGTAAGTACCAGCCCTGAGGGCCAAATGAACGAGCAAGTGCCCTTGCAGGCCACACACACACTCAAGCCAACCAGCACTCAGACAGGCACGGCCACACACACACTCAAGCCAACCAGCACTCAGACAGACATACAGTCCAGCAAGCGTGCACACACAGACTTAGTAGTAGGCAGGAAACTCAGCAAGGCATTCAGTCTATGGGCAAAACTCAGAATTCACCCGTGTGTTTCAGTCCATGTTTGGACGGGTCATCACACTACCCCCCCCTCAAGAGCGAGGTCCCTTCGAGCGAGTAACTCATGCTGAGTCCTCGACAAACGCATCGTAAGCAAGCAAGGCAAAGAGGTTCCTGGCATACGACGTCGCAGTAAGCCTTGCGGAGATCTTGGGAGTAGCGTCAGCTGGAATTTGTCGCTCGTAGGCTTTAACAACGCGTGGTGCGCTGCGTAGCAGCTCCTGCTTGGAAATCCAGTAGATCGTCCAACGGGTGATACATGAAGTGAACCTGGTACTGTCTGTTGCGTCCCTTCCCTACGTGCTGTTTAATTCTGTCTATCTCATGCCCGCCTTTGATTGCACGAGGGATCATGTCTTCGCGATAATCGAACGTCTTAGCGTCACAGTGGAGGTACAGTTTTGATGCATGGAACACGGGGTATGTGCGCAGATGGGCTGGCACATCAACTACGTACGAAGGCCAAAGTGATCTTCGCCAATCACATCCAAAACTTCCCACAGACCATAGTAGAGTGGGAGAAGTTTGCGAGAGACTCCCTCTTCTTCTGAAAATTCAGACATCTTGACCCAGACATGGCTTCCTACCTGAATATCCGACGGTCGGCGCCTTTTGTTTGCATGATGGATCATGGCGTGTTGTCGCTTGGTAATTGCTGCAATGGCAACTTTGAGCAAGCGATCATACTTGGCCCTGAAGCCAGGCCTGCCGGGTGTTAAGCCAGCTGGCTGTTCAGGGAATAGGTAGGAGAGCGGATTACGGGTCTGCCAACCGTAATGCAACCTGTTGGGTGTCATGCCGGTGGCGGAATAGACAGAGTTGTTGTACAACCCCTTAACGGAATACAACTCTTCATCCCATGTTTCCTGATCCAGAATAATCAAGGGGCGGAGAAGTTGAAACACAGTCTGGTTGATCTCCTCAGCCAAACCATTGGCTTCGGGGTGTCGGCCAGATGTCATACACAGTCTCATCCCTAGTTGAGACGTGAAGTCCTTCCATTCAGTCCTAATGAAGCGCAGTGGATGACCTGGCAGATCAGGAGTCCAAGATTCTGAAAGCAATTCAGGATCTGACTGCTCAGCTGACAGCAGCCAAACTGATTGTTCCCCAGACTCCTGCCCTCTCAGTGAAACCTAAACCTTCTCCTTCTCCTCCTTCAACCCCCTCTAGTTCACGCCATTCTTCCCCTTCACCACCTCCTTCCCAAAAAGCCACAGCCCAGCCATGTTATGCGTCTGTTGCTGCAGGGGATCAGAGAGGTCCCAAGATCCCAGCTCCCAATAAGTTCAAAGGGGATGACCCAAAGACCGATGTCGGGGACTAGGCTGTTGGGACCAAAGCCTACTGGAGGGGCTTTGTCTGTGCAGAACAGACCAACGTGGCAACGATTTTGGGACTGCTGAGGGACCCGCGCTGAAGTGGGCCACCTCAACCTCCAACAGTCAGCAGCAGTCTATGGAGGACTGGGCTTTTGGGCTGGGGGTGGACAGACTTCTGCAGACCCTAGAGGATCGCTTTGCAGACAAGGAATGGGCCCGCAAAGTTGCTGACAAGATTGCTCGCTTGGGGCAGCAGCGCTACAGCGATACCCTACAGTCCTTGTTTGCAGAGTTCGAGCAGCTTACCTCCACCCCTGGGTTGGTTATGTCAACTGATGATCTGCTGACCAACTTCTGCAGGGCAGCGCCTGAGAAGTTTGTTGTTGCAGTGTATAGCGCTGGGCACAAGGATTGGGTATCCTTTGGCCGCGCAGCCCTGAACATGGAAGCCAAACTTCATGTTCAGGCCCCCTCCTCTGACAGGAGGAAAGGTGCCTTCCCTCGTGGTGGTAGAAAGGGAAAGGCAACCTTTGCACATGTAGGGTCTGCATCAGCTTCTAATTCAGACTCCCAGGTTGATACACCATCAGCTGGGACTGGATCAGCTGCTGAGACAGATGTTGCAGCAGCCCTGACTCAGGCTGTTCTGGGAGTTTTGCAGCAGCAGAAAATATTCTCCCCCGCTACAGCCTCAGCCAGTGCAAAGGGGAAGGACAAGGGACGTCGGCCTTCCTCCTCCCAACGCCCTAATCTGCCAAAAGACGTCCATATGACAGCTGACCATCTCAATCCCTCCACCCGAACCTGGCATGACCTCAAGATCCAGGAGGGAGTGTGGAGAAGAAGGAAGGAAAGAGGGGTCTGCCTGAGGTGTGAGGGCCAACACTTCTTGAAGGAATGCTCTTACATGCCAGGCCCAGGTCAGTCAAAAAACTGAAGCAGACCCTGGGGACTGCAGTTCCCCCCAGTGCTGCTGATGCAGATGGATCTGCAGCTGCTTTGAAACAAAGTCTGAGTGTTTGGGGACTGCACGGGCAGCATCCTTCTGCTATGAGGATCCTGACTCGGATCAGGACCCGGGGCAGGATAAGCTTCAGTCACTTGCTGCTTTCTTCCTTCACCTGAAGGAACAAAAGAGAAGCGAGTCTGATCTCATCCTACTTCAGCCCCTGATCAATAACATCAGTATCAAAGGGCTGTTGGATTGTGAAGCCACCAGGAACTTCATGTCTTTCAGTGCGGTCAAAAAATTGCATCTGGGTATGAAAGTTCAGCAGCTGCAGCAACCTTTGTTGGTCATAATAGGTGACTCCACTGTTCTTACTATCAAGAAGAAGGTCAGGGGTATCCCTG